CTGAACCCCAGAAAGTTTCCTGAAGTTGAGGAATGTACTTCAGAAACTGAAAGTCTCTGGTTTTAAAGAACAGCTTCAAACAAAGCAGTACACAGGGAAACACACTGTGTCAGGTTTTTAAAGTCTCCCTTGCTATGAATTTCTGCCCAATTCTGATCAGTTTAGCAAACAGAGTCATGGACATCCATGGAATTTCTGCATATGATGAGCAATGAAAAATCAAGAGCAGCTGGACAAACCTGACTGCTTGGAACTCATTTGCTGTGTTTTTAATGTCTGTTTCACTCACTGACTAGCTATTATTTTCTTTCTGTTTTTTCAGTAACAGTACACTCTTGCAGTGTTAATGTAAATATTTTGGTGTGTTTTCCAGATGACAGCACTGGAGAAAGCCACTGGTGACGTTGTGTTCAAGTTTGAACCATTTGTTCTTCATGTGCTATGTCAAGAGCTGCAAGACGCACAACTTCTGGTAAAGTTTCATCAAGGAACCACGTTACATTGTTGTTGTCTTATGTTCCTTGCTGCAGAAGTAACAGCATTGGCTCCTGAATAGCCTTTAGCACCTCAGGTTAGCCCCAGGTGTGCTGTATGTCAGAGTAAACCGATGAAGGAAACAGATTTAAAACTAGCAGACATTTTGGTTTGCTTTTCAGAAAACAAAATTACTCACCTGCAGTTGAAGCAGGTTGCCTGGTGGAAGCCTGGGTTGCTGCTGCTGGCTGAGGGTGGTGGGTTTTTCAGACATCACCAGTCAGACCCTTTGCCTCCAGTGCTCCCACCAAGTCGTGCCTCAGCCTCCTGCTTTTCCATAACGACTCTGGAGAGTCATGCAGGGTGTGCTTGTTCCTTCATGAGTGCAGAAGAGAGTGGATTAGCTTCTGCTCTAGTACTGCTGCCCTTTGGCCTGTAGAAGTGTTGCACGACTGCCTGGTTGCCAGCTCCTTAAGAGAAACCAATGCAGTGCCCAGAGAGACCTTCCTGTCCCCTCTGCACCAGCAGGCTAAGACTGACTTGTGGGTCTTTGAAAACCAGCCACAACTGGTGGTACCACATGGGTGTCATCTGAAAAACATGTTACCTATTACTGCATTAGTCTGGGGAGATGGTTTTGAAGAAGCCTTTTGCCAAACAGATGATAAGCTGCACTGTAGCCCATCCCCAGCTGTTCTGGCTGCCAGTGGGAGCTGCTGAAACCTGTGTCTGTTCCACAGCACTCGGTGGCTGTCGGTGCTGGCTTCAGGAACTCGGGCATCACCGTTGGCAGAGGAGGGAAAATTACAGTGGTAAGGACCTTTCTACTTACCTGTAAAGAATGCAACATAGTTATATCATTACTCTTAAAATACAGTTTTTTACAAGCCAGGCTCTGAACTGTGATGTGCTGTGCAGCTGCCACAGGCTGTGCTGTAGCAGGGATCCCAGGATCCCAGAATCATCACGGTTGGAAAAGACCTCTAAGATTACTCAGTCCAGTCATCCACCCAGGGTCTTTCTGCTTTAGTTGACAGCAAAATAGCCAATTGTGGGGATGAATAGTATTTTAGCTGTAATGAATTCCCCACATTATTTAGATAACCTCCCTGAAATAAACTTTCTCCTAGATCTGTCCTTCTCTGTTACCTCCAGGCTGTCCGGAGCACTCATTGCTTGGAAGTTCCGTTGAGCCACAAGGGGAAGTTGATGGTCTCTGAAGAATATATTGAATTTCTGATACATGTAGCTAATCAGAAAATGGAAGAAAACATAAGGAGGATTGACAGGTTTGTTAGATTACACCAATCCTATTCATGATATCTAAATCAAGAAGTGAAAAATGCACAGGAGAGGATATGTACAAATCCACCTCCAAAAAAACTAACAAACAAAAATCACAGGGCCAACCCCCAACAAAGTCTAAAATACAATTTCAACTAAATTTTTTGAACTCTGGAAGCTACAGAGTATTTAGGTGAAAAGCTAACCATGAGTTTGCAGACTTCCTTTGATACTGGGTAGGGTTTGAGTTCCCTTCTCTAATGAGAACAGCATTTGTCACTGTAACATGGTAAGCACTTCAGGAGTGCTCAGATTGCAGTGCACACTTGAATCTACTGGCTGCTTTGCAGGGTCACAAACTGATGATTTGTGAAAGTGGTGGAAGGTTAAACACACTTTGGGTGTTTACATTTGTTACCAGCTGAAGAACAGAATAGGCAGAAGAGCCAAAGAGCACAAGGATCAAAAGGACAGTGGGGAGGTGCCAACGTGTACCAGCCTCCTTTTCTGTGTCCATTGGACATCTCTGTGGTTGTTAAAGCTAGAAATAATTGATAATAGGAGCAGTCCATCCGATCTTTAATGCTGCTGTTCATCAGACATCTAACCTGATGCTACTTTATGGTTTCTGTAAGATGAGCACAGTCCTAGTGGCACGTGAGTACAGCCAGAAATTGGTTCCAAACACACAAGCATTACAGGGAGGAGTTGCATGGCACACATGGGGACCTGTGCTGCTAGTTCTGATTGTCCTTCCAGCATTGACTGGAACATGTCAATGTTAGGAACCATTTTCTTCTCTTACACAATTGGATTGTATTACAAAAGCATTGGTTTCTCAGGGTAGTGAGCAAACCTATAAAAACAGTAACTACGCAGTTGTTTCTAGGTTCCACAAAAGCCTTGAGCTGGCTTTGAAAACCTATGCCAGTGCAGACAACTCACCCTCTGAGGAGGCAGAGAAGAGTCGCCCCGTGTACGTCCGCAAAAGAAAGAGGAAGACCTTCCAGCAGCAAGGCCTGGACACCCCACCCAGGGAGCACAGGGGGGAGCTGGAACCTGAGGAGGATGTGGAAAACATTCTTGATGTTTTTGCTGGCATCATGATATAGACTCAGGCATTTGAAAGCAAATGGCAAACTGAATAGTAACTGTAATGCTCTTTGTAAGAGATATAAATACTGCTCTGTTCTAAGCAGTTACACTCTTATGAACATTTACCAGAAAAAAAAAGGTAATTAAACAGAATTGTTAAGAAGTTCAGTGCCACAGAAGCACAGAGAACAAAACCTTAGAATGTTCTGGGCTTTTTTTAACAGCACAGTTGAATTAAAGTTTGACCCTGTCAGTTACCACAGAAATAACTGCTTTGCTGCAGCCTTTGGCCAGGGTCTCTGGGGCAGCATTTTGCTGCCCAGTGGGTTCAGGCCCTCTGAGTTCTGCAGAGAAACTAAAAACTGGGTTGTGATCCTTGAAGGTTTTCAGTTGCTGTGGGAGCCCTGCAGGAGGGTGTGCAGCAATGCAGGGGCCCTTTCAGCACACCAGGAAGCCAGATGAGGAGCAGTGCCTGGTGCAGAGGTGATGATGGGGAAGAGGAGCTGGGTGCAGCTCCGTGCTGCCTTCAGCCAGGCCTCACCCAGCTCCCTCCCAACCCCTGCACTGGGCAGCAGAGCTGGTGGTGTGACCCTGTGCTGGCTGGGCCAGGCTCCAGCCCCCTGTGGGCACGTGTGCTGCTGCATCATCCCACATGTCCAGCACAGCTTCACTTCCAGCTGCTGGGCAGAATCAACCAAGGTGCAGAGTCACAGGCTTCCTTACCAGGCCATGAACCACTGACATGCAACAAATGTTGAGGATAAAGCAGTGCAGTGATTTGCCTTCCTGTAGGTGCCACTGGAAAAGCCACTTCATATTGTCATGTATTTTTCAGAAAAATGGTGATTTTGTAAACCTTAGCAGCAATGGATTCAGAGCCCTTCCTTTAGTGCCTCCGGGGTGGGTGGCACTGCCAAGGCAGACCCTGCCTGCAGGAGATGGTTCCTTTGGCACAGCAACTCCAGTTGGTGTAGGGAGGGAGCTGTCACTGTTCCCATTACACAGGTCTGTGTCTTGAGGACATTTTAATCCCACTGGAAAAGTGTGACATGCTGGGTAGCAGCTAGAAGGAAGAGTAACTGGGGGCTTGAAACAGATTCTGCAAGACCTGTTAGGCAGCGTTTCCAAGAGCAGGCATGCCAAAAAAAACCCAGCTTGAGCCTTTTGTGCTGCCCGTGTTCCAAAGGTTCGGCTGGAGGAGTTTGGGGTCGGTGCTTCTGACGCGGGGCTGGCGGGGCCGGGGTCTGCTGGGCAGTGACCCGCATGGTGCTGCCCCGCTCGGCGCTGTCCCGCAGGGTGCTGTCCTGCTGTCCCGCACGGGGCTGTCCCGCTGTCCCGCACGGGGCTGTCCTGCTGTCCCGCACGGTGTTGCTGTCCCGCTGTCCCGCACGGGGCTGTCC